GAGAATCTAATTTCGAATAATTTCCGTAAAACGACTGTTCTGAAAAACATATGATTTTTAAACCAAAGCTTCACTCCTAAGGATTCTACTGAAAAAATCTGAGGGCGTTACGTTCACTAGAAGACCTAGAACCACTTTTTAAATTTCCTATACATTTGTCTGTAAGTAAGTCCCGGGAAAATTACAGACAAGTATATGGAAAATGTAAAGCAAGCCTCTGGAGAAATTTAAGCACAGGTAAGCCTCCAAAATGTTTTAGGACAATCCTTTACACTGTAGCGTTAGTTTACAATTGATATTTTTTTCAGAACAGCCGTTTTACGGAAATTATCCGACATTAGATTCTCGTACAAACACTGTAATTTTTCACGCGTTTGCCTACTCTTCAAGATGGCGTCGAAAACCGTGACAAGGTCTATACGCTTTACCTTGCTTACGTGGTGTTATCTTGCTTCCTGTGTGGTTATTTTCCCGATCCGTTGCGATTTAAGCGATTTCCTTTATCCCGCTCGCAACGGATCGGGAAAATAACCACACAGGAAGCAAGATGACACCAAGTAAACAACGTAAAGCGTATTTTATTGAAAATTCATGCGAGTATTTATCTTATCGAATCGATTACCTGAATTCCCGTACAAATCCATTATAAAGATAGCCTGCGTAGCTGGCGGTATTTTGTAGTAGTCGAGTGAGATTTGGCGGCGGAGCCGTTGTATAGTCGAGTGAGATTTGACGGCGGAGCTGTCACGAGCGGCGAAGCCGCGAGAAATATTTTAACCGCCTCGTCCCTACTCCCTTTTTTTGGAACACGGCTCCGCCGCCAAAACTTTAATCTCGCACCCACACAATACCGCCAGCTACGCAGGCTATTATAAAGACGGGTTTCTTGGAAAAGCAGGATCAAGGATCAAGGATCAAGGACCAGGGATCAGAGTTCAGTTGAAAATATATCAAATATATTACCCCTACGTGACTTAGAGCATTAAGCATACGCCTACTGACTAGCTATTGAACAGCTACTGAGCATACGTGACTCGAGTGCTCAAGGAGCAAACATAAATCTGTGATCATTTCGACGACGAATTCCCCCTTTAGTAGCCTGATTCCCCCTTTAGTAGCCTGTGTAGCAAGCGTTTGCAGTCGAGTTATTGCGCGAAAGTTAGAGCGGAAACGCTTGCTGCGCAGGCTACCCTTGTAGCAAACATCATGTTTGCTACAAGGGTAGCCTGCGTCATGCCATTCATCCCCTTATGAGACCGGGACGAGCTCGAACCGGTATGAGTTCGTATCGTTCTCCATAAATTTCTTTTCATGCTTTTACATGGGACCGGCCTGAAAACGAACTCAGAGCGGTCTGACTTCGTGTCGGTCGTTAACCCGACACGAGTTATTTTCGTACCGGTCCCAGACTGTATTGTTCTCATGTAAAACGAAAACGAATCTCAGGGGTGGCGAATGGTACCTTGAAAAACGTGGCTCTCGGAAAATTTTGCCAGAATCTCGACATCTCGGAAGCGTTTATGATAAGTCTCGAAGTTTCGTTTTTTCATGGTTTGTTTTTACTTTTTTGAGTCTCGAAACTTTTTACCAAAGAGTCTCGGGCTCGAATTTCTAACTAGGATCTCGGCGTCTCGGCGAGTCTCGGATTTTACTATACCATTCGCCACCCCTAATCTCAAACCGGATCCATAAATAGCTGGTTTCTTCGTATGGGTCCATCATTTTTGCTTTTTTTTTCAGCAAAATAAGAACACTGCTATGAATAACTGTAAACAAGACTTGGAAGTAGCTTCAGTTGAATATATGCTTCGGTTAATGTGAGGGATTGCACCATTTTGAGATGCTGTATATTCCGACAAAATGACCTCTGAAGCCCGAACCCACACATGGTGGCCTTGGGCTGCCTGTGATCCCACAAACAAAAATTTCTCGTATTCCGGATCCCATGAACAAAAATGTCCTGTATTCCCGATCCCAAAAGCAAAAATTTCCCGGAGTGTGGAATCTGGATATACCTTGCATGTTGCGAGAAAGGGAGTGTACATCAGTCGTTTGATTCATTTCTATCTTGTTATTTATATATAGTTGCCTGTGATAATCAAGAATGGGGTTGCTGTTGGTTATTGCTTTGATATTTACCACCGGAAACTTTGTCGAAGTCTCAGCTACCGACAAAACCATCTGTGACGTGATGCCAAATAACAAAACTTGTAATCAGGATTCCTGCGACCAACCACCATGCTCGCTCCAGTGCAACCAGTCGTATGATGGCTGCAACCAGAATTGCAATGCGACTACATGCAACACCTTGGCTTGTAGTTCCTCGGAGACCTGCATACAGAGCTGCGATGGTGGCTACTGCTACGAGTTTAGGTGCAATGCTAAGGATTGCTTACAGTCCTGCATTAAGGGTGGAAATTGTACCACCATGAGATGCACAAACTCGATGCCTGGTAGCAGCTGTATGCATGGTGGAAATACGAAGGAGTTGTTCTGTGATTCTGAAAATTGCCAGCAAGACTGCTTTGATGATTGTAACATGACCTGTTCGTCCAGCGTAAAGACGTGCTCTCAAACTTGTCACCATGGAACGTGCTTCTACCAGTGTGATGCACAAACCTGCAGAGTTGACTGCCTTGGTGGCAATTGCCCGCAACTCAAGTCATCGACTACCCTAACCCCTGCCACCTCCAAGATCCCAAGTGTGGGCATCCGTTACCATGTGACCATCTCGCTTGTTTCGGGATTATTGCTTGCAGTGGTTGTTTTTATGTGAATCATGACGTCTTTTTTATGTACAATCAGAATAATCGGCGAAAAATTTAATAGTTGAGACACTTTTCCCTACTGGGCCTCTCTGACGTTTTGCCAACTTAAAAGGGAAAAATAAAGCTTTCCCTTATCCCCACCCCCTACACAAATGGATTTGAGGGGGAGGGGTGTGGCCCATTCGAGGACACTAGAGAGATTTAGAGTCACGTTTACGGCAAATGACAAACGTGAATTTGTACCACGTGACCAAGCTTTTCCTTTATTTGTCTTTACATGTTCTTAACTTCTACAAAAGTTATTTCATCCGTACGAATTGTTTTGGACTGGTTTTAGCTACTCGTTTTCTATTTTGAGAAATTCTCAACTTGAGTCTGTCGTTTGCCGTAGACGTGACTCAAAATCTCTCTGGGTTAGAAAGGATTTCCACTGTCGCGTAATTTTTCCGTGCGTACACACGTAAATTTTACGCGTGTAAGTATAACAGAAGCAATGTATGAAAGGTCACACGTAAACGTAAAAGGTGCCGCGAGTTTCAACCTTTACGTGTATGCGCGACATACCACACTTTGCCTCTACTACGCGCGTAAAATTTGCTTTACGAGCGTGCGCACGGAAAAATTACGCGACAGTGGAAATCCACCGTCCCTAAGTAGAGTTTTTGTTACAGCTTCTGCAAGATTAATGATTGTATTTTTTTTCCAATTATTGAAAACATATTTTAACCGTTCAAACATTGTAAAAGATGTTTGAGCTCAAGTCAGTCCCGGCGAGCATGCACTCTATAAAACAACTACCAGCTGCTGCAGTGTTGCTGAATATCCTTAACCTCGTCTTGTCTCTAAAATGAAGCCGGATTTTTCCAAACTTTCTTGCTAAATTTGGACTTACAAACTGATGCCGAGAACAAAAACACGGAACAAAGGCCAGAACGGAAAGAATAGGTACTGCATAAGACAAAAGTGTTGAACATCAGAAGTATTTAATAGTGTAAGTCAGGTACTTTACAGACGAGGCTCAAACACAATTAGAACGGAACATTTGAAGTGGCGCGTCCTAGAGAGCTCGACGGCAACGAGAACGGCAAAAAGCAATAGCTAGGTTAGATTAGCAAAAACAACAACTTTGCGTGTGCATTACGCTTTTTTGTACATTTCCGTTTGCCGTCTTGAACGACTACAACGTGAAAGTGCCTAATTTCACGTTTTGTCGAGGACGGGAACACAAGACAAAAACTTTCTTTTTCTTTTCCTGGGGCCACGGTTTTAGCTAAAACCGTGGCCCCAAAGTTTTCTCACACCTTGCGTAAAAAATTTCACAGTTGCGCCTGTTCCTTTTTGTAAATCCGGCCAAACCTTCAATGTTTGCGACGATCATTATTTTTAGTCATATTATGGCTTAAATACAGGCGTCTAGTATTTGACTGTAAAACTCCCTGAAGAAGTGTACGTTAGTTAGACAAAACGCGTACGAGAATAAACAAGTTTTACAGCAACAGTTCGCAGAGTGCGGCTCACTAGTTTAGTTTTAAAAATTTTTAAAAATTGGAGGTCGGTTGTGGCACGGGAAGATTTACTCGCGTCATGTCGCGCAGAATCCCCATCCGGTGTAGTTTTCGTGCCGGCGCAAATACTATCCCGTATAGAGTGAACACCTATCCGATATGTGACGCACCACTTCAGAGATTGGCGCAGCGCAGCTTGGCAAAGAAACCACTTCAGAGATTGGCGCAGCGCAGCTTGGCAAAGAATCCCCATCCGGTTTAGTTTTCGTGCGGGCGCAAATGCTATCTCGTATAGTACGAAACATAGCCTGACTTTCTATTCTCTTAAACGGAATCATACTAGAAAAATAGCACCAGCCGATTTGGGGCGCGTTTGGCTACGATAACTTCATCTCGTCACGAGACAGCTGACTTGCCGTACATTTCTGTGAATTTTCTTACCATCAAACGTTTATTATATTTACATATAAGGACAAAGATTTCCCATGTTCGGGTTATGATTATAGCTATGAGACGATTTTGTCACCACTCTACCACTTCTGTCCTCTTCCGGACCTCCCTCTCTACCCTAGAACCTCCTGTATAAACCACTGTGTCATCTGTCCGCTACGTTCAACAACAAAGGTCCAAATCGTGCCTTTTGAGTCTGTCTAAATGGGGGGCGTTTTTTGTTTTTGATTGTTTTTGTTTTTGTTTGTTTTTTGGTCGCCTAAAAGCAATCCTAACGATAAACTTATCACGATTTATCGACTCGCCACCTACGACGTCACTTAAGCTTTACTTGATACTTTCCCCAAGGCTAATGCAGTCTCTTTTCTGCTTGTTTCCACGACCAAAGTCAAAAGTCGGGCTAAACTGGAAACGGTCTGGGATTCCTTTGAGGACTGATATTTTTCTGAGATTGAAAGGTGCTAGAAAGTCATGGAAATTTTTGCATTTCCGAGTTTAAATCACACCGGACGTGTCTCTAGCCTGAAGTAACAACTTCCAGGTTACAATTATTGGAAGACGAACTGTGTGCATGCCGGAGATATTACGTGTCACAGCAACTGGCAGTGCCAGTTGAGGAAACCACTCTGTCCTCTTTCTCTCTTTGACGTTAGGAGTTCTTTGTAACGTATTCAGCTATCATCACGTGGTGGACCGGACCTGTTCTTTCGTGACTCCTGTGCTTTTTGGCATCTTTTTATTGGAGCTATCTTCAATTTCCTTGGCTTTATAATAGTGAGGTGCTACCTCCAACAGCCACTTGTTCTCGATCTCAATAATCTAAAAACACAGAAACGTAAACAGGACAAATCAGGAACTCTGATCTTGACCTCGAAAAGACGCCCCCCTTTTAGTTTCCAACTGGAATTTCCGGAAAATGAAACGGGCACTAACATTGTACAGTCCGTTAGAAACTACGCTTTAAGGTCGCAAAATCATGAAACTATTGACCTTACTCATACGACCCTACCTGTCTCATAAATTCTTTGGTGGTAAACACGAGTTCGTGGTAGATCACCCATCTTGGCTGCTCTTGAAACAAGCTGCTGTTCGGGTGAATCTGGACTGTCTAAAAAGCAAAAGAAAAAAGAAAAGAAAAGAATCAAAACATATATCATGAAATCATGGAATCGTATACATCTATCGTACGAAGCGTGATCTAAACAAACAAGCCACAAAAACTCGCTTAAGCACAGAGGTCATAAGAATTTTTATTCTATAGACATCCCCCCCTCCACCAATTAATTTATGCAAAATGTCAAGAGAGTAGAAAAGACTTTGTATTATGATGAATGGAGTTTAATCCACCAACCTGCTGATGTTTCACTGTCCTGTACTGGCCACTCCTACCCAGTCTTGCCGTATGGTAAAAGTATCCTGCGGTAATGGCCTGTAAACCAACAACAAGTAAGTCAGTGTAAATCTCAGCAATAATGGAAGTCAACTCCTTTAATGGACAACCCTATAGGAGACATCAACGTTTACAAACATTGTTTTTGTTACTGGAACTTGTAACGAGTGAAAAAAACGAATATTTTGTTTCAAGAACTAATGCCCTTCTGGTTGGCACATTAATATCACTAGGTGACTTCAGCGTGAGTATCGCTATAAGACGAACACCACCCTAAAGGCCGATACACACGAGGGATTTTGCTCCTGGAGCATGCTCCAGGGGCACGCTCCGGGAGCAAAGCTCCTCCGTGTGTACCAACGATTTCATGGGTATACTTCATCCTCGGGAGCAGAATTTCCACCCCGCAAAATGCTCCACGATATTTAACCGGTTAAATATTTGGGAGCAAACTCCCAGGGCAAATTGCCCAATGCACAATGTAGGGCGAACGGATGCTTCAGACAGTCACATAGACAGTAGGCTTTGTGAGTGCCGCCGAGGACTAACCCTGGGTGTAGATAATTAAGTCCATCATCATATAAGAAGAGTGGATGAACGGCAGCCACTACCCGCCTAGACTAGCCTTTGCTATTTCCATTTTGTAGGTAGCGAGGAAATTACAATGCTAGTGGGTAAAAACAAAATGACAAAAAAAGGCACTAGCAAGATTTTTTACGAAATTGAAAGAGCCTGTTAAACAATGTTAAAGTTAACTCTCCTCGACATGTGACAATAGGCAGATTAAGCAAAAGAGAACGTCACGAGAGCAACGCTGGCGCGCAAGCGGCGCGCCCAGATTTAAAATTCGTATAAGCCAATAGCAGAGCAGAACATAAAGCACCGAAAGTCGCGTTCAGTCCTTACCATGCACTTCGCGTTATCATTTGACGTTTCGTGGTTACTGCTAAATCTGCCATATGTGTTAGCGCAGAAACGTTTCCATTTGTTAATATCTTAATCCGGCCAAAGGAAGCAGTTACCTTTCTCATCGGCACTGAATCATTGGGATTAGAAGATATCTCAATCTCCACCCTCTCCATCAGTCCTTCCAGCTGCTCACGAACATCGCGGGCTCTCTTCATAGAACGATGCTGAATAAAGTTTTCATAACACCACTGAGTTGAGTAATCTGTCTCTGCCCACTGATCATAAACATTCAAAAGGGTCAGGTGGTCCCCGCCGGGACGGAAGAAATTCACACGCGCGTTGTCCGCGTGCACAACTTTGTCTTTAGGACGATAGAAGATGGCGTTGTTGACGGATAACATGGCGGTGATGGTGAGAATCTGCTCTACGCACTTGTATCTACAAATCAAATTGGAGGCAGATGTGTGAAGGAACTGCTTCTTAGGGTTTCCTAATACTTCATATTTCTTACTTAGAATACAATTATCTTTTTCGGCATTTCTTTTGTAGGAAACTATATCACACAGTCCAACAATATTTCGTCAACTACGCAAAACTTCGAACTGGGTTTCGTAAGCTCGACTACGCAACTTTACAACTGGTACACTGCGAAATAGGCATATTTTTGCGTTGGAAGAAAATGCACAACTCATCAAACGCGGGAAGGTCTGGAACGTGTCTCGCGAGACTCACGTCTTTAGAGCGAAAATTTTACCCCCGGCGCTTCGTAACGCGAGCCTCACTGGGAGCAACTTTGTGAAAAAAATAAAATAAAATAAATCATTAAATAAATACTGTTTTTCATTCTATGTTTTTCGATACGTTTTCGTGATGTATGCTTCATATACTCTTTATTGAAAAGTTCAGATTAAAAAGCTTATTTTGCTTTCAGGAAAAGAAAAAAAAGTGAGGGAATTTGTCAAAAGTACTTTCTTTTGCGTACTTTTCAGACGCTATCAGCATTTTTGACGTCATTGGTTCCACAGGAAACTCTGCCATGCGACGACCGAGCTGCAAAGAAAGAAAACGGTAAATGATTATTAAACACCACACAATTTGCTTTACACGTATGCACGAAATGCCGCCCTGATGGATCTTCTGTCACCATATGCACAAAAAATTGCTTTGAAAGTAACAACCTGATGACCAGCTAAGCTGTTAATCTGAAAAGCAGTGAATATCCTTCACGACTGCAGGGAAAATTGAATCACTCTTTTTTTTCTGAGTAGATCATTCTACTATTCGCCACTTTAGAAATGAGATGGGAACTCGAGCCGAACTGCGTCCCGCAATTCTTTCTGGGATGGTTACTGCGGACGCGCCGATCAGCTATTGGCCATTTTTTTCCGTCCATGGCAACAGTCCCAGAATTCACTGCGAAAGTTAACTCGACCCAGTCTCCCTCTCGTTACTTAAGTGGCAAATGCTCCTTCAAACTGGTGGCGTTTTCATTTCTATGTTTAAGATACCATCTGTGACACTTTGTCCATTTCTTAAACAAGAGTGATGGTCTTAATAACAGTTTCGAACACCTAAGAAAAGTGGTATATTACTTACCTTGGTAAGTTCTCCGTGATGATTCAGTGCCCCCAATGCATAGAGCTGTTCAAGGGCAATGATCAAAGTTTCCGCTGGAGGGGGATCCATGAAATCGAAATGAATCAAATCGTTGATACCCAGACTCTTGAGAAGAAGAACCACGTTCCCTAAATTTGTTCTTTGGATCTACAGAAGACAAAATGAAATGAAATGAAATATAAAACTTTTTGAAGACCACTATCGGATAATAGTTCTTGGAATCACGGTAGACGAACGAGAAAGTATATAGAGCTTCATGCAAATATTATTTAGCCATGTGTTCAGTATTAAAAACACTGGCAGCCTCTTCGTAGGAGAACGGGTGAACGTGACGATATTGGGAGCTAAGTTTGGCCAAAGCAATGGAGGAAGTGGTTCTACTGGAGAAGGAAGGGGGGCGGGGGGTAGTTTGGAAAAGAAAGGGAAGAATGTTTTACCCTCCCCCCACCTTCCCCCGCCAAAAGCCTATCCCTCAAGCCTTGATCGAAGACTAGGTGGCCCCCATCTTTTATGACCAGCTCGTTATTTGGTTGTGTAATGTAGTTACTTCCTTTGGAGTATAACTCGAGTGAGAGTGTGTGTCTGATGGTGGGAGAGAGCCTTCCGCACGTTGAAGTTGCAAGCAGCAAACAACAGACAAAATCCACGACAAACGGCGGAAGAATTCCGTGTTTATCTCTGTCTTTCACATTTTTCGAAAACAAAGAACAAAAACAACACAACACACACAAAAAAATCTATACTCTCTAATCACATTGCGCCATGCGTTCGCTACTCTTGTGCTTGTCACAAAGGCTACAACATAGATTTGCCACCACACTGGTTTAAAAAAGCGGAGGAGTAAATCGTAGTTACCTCAGGAATAGTGTTGTCTTCCAGCTCGTTCTTGTACGCCCACGCTGTGTACATCCTAAAACATTTGCCTGCTGCCACGCGACCAGCACGTCCTGCACGCTGATTGGCTGATGCCTGAGGAGACGAACATTCCACACTGGATATAAATCAACCAGAACATTTTTCAAATATGGGTAAAAGGTAAAGGCGTTTCTAAGTCGTGACCTTATACCGGTGGTTGGAGTAAGGATCACCTAAAAGCACTGTGCTACTACCCCCGGATAGCATGCTGGTCAATCGCCTAGTTACCCCTAGCAGATATGCCGGGGGAACTCCCATATAAAAGTGACGTAAATGCTCGTCGTCTCGCTTTGGGGTATAAATTGCAGATTTTGGTCTCACTTAGGGTTTTTGGGATGGAAAGTCACTATAATTGCCCATTCAGGTATCGCTTAGTACTGTGCATAAAGAAATTCACAAAAACTGCCCTGACCTTGACCTCACAGAAATCTCCCTTAGGGGTCAGTATAAGCTTGAGCCACACCCACATTGGTCTCCCTTATGGGGTTTAATTTGAATTTTCCGACGAGCGTTTAAAATCCGGGGCTATAGATCCGAAGTTAGAGGTCTTAACCTCTCGGCCATCACGCTTCCACAAAACTGATTACACAAGACATAATTTGCAAAGTTGTAGGTTACCCTACTGCCTCGCTTTGTTGAAAACTCCTTCTTTGAAGTTATTTTATCGTATGGCGCTTTAGGGCCAAGGCGATGTAGTGGCAATATGCCCCTACAAAACTAACAGGCAAGTGCGGTCAATATTTATAGTAACTTTTAGTTTATATCCTTAATGCCTATTGATTGCAGTACAAGTTGACTCCTTGACTTGCTTGCTCGTGTTGTGATTTGAAAGCAAGATTCCACTGGCCTGTTTCGCGACTCGAGCATCCTATGGTTGCGTTCACAAATTATTTCAAGCGATCAAAATACAAGACTGTTTCACAGGAGATCTTACTTTAGAGATGGGTGTGACCAATAGCGATTCCATTCCTGTGCGAGGGTTGTAACTCTTCTGTTTACAAAACCCTGGATCAATAACGTAGATGATGCCATCAATAGTCAAAGAGGTCTCCGCAATATTAGTGGCAAGTACAACCTGATAAAAGTAAACGAAAAGCACTCTAGAAACCAACTTGAAAGATTTAACAAGGAATTATACAAATTTAAAGGCTAAATAGGTATTCCCGTCCTACGAAGGCATTCTTTTGTTTCATCACGCGCTCCCCCCCAACCCCTCCTCCCTCGTCAGTATGAGGCGGACTGCGTGACAAGCCAAAAGCAAATTTATTTAGGAACCTAAATGGTGACCTTCCTACTCTGCAAGCGTTCTTTTGGCCCATCAACTGTTACTCGCCCCTGTTGATGATTTGAGGTGGACTGCGTGACGAAACAAACGCATGTCTGTATTAGAGGATACAGTGTAAATGGTCACGAGTAATTTGTTAATTTGTTTCCTTGTTTTTGGAACGCTGCATCATCGTAAAGTAGGATTTAGCTCATACACCTATCCAATTTGTTTCGGTTACTTTGCATGTTATCGCATAAATTTTCAATACCAGTAAAACTGAAATATCTAACATAAACATCTCACACAGCTCTCCGGAAAAACAGTGGAGAAACGGGCCGAAGGAATTAACATGATTAAGACGCGTAAGGCAACCTCAGCTTTTAAACATTTCCTCAGATTGACCGGGTGTTTTGAAAATTGTCAAAATAATAGTTTGTATTTCGATCCTTTGTTCCTCGTTTTTTTCTTTTGCCGACTCACTTAAAATAATGACGTCAACTTGTCTCTACTAAATTGTGTATTTGCTTTACTCCAGGAAACCGGCCAAACAGTTTGTCTAACCTTTCTGGCCCCAGGAGGGGTGGGCTCAAATATCTTGGCTTGCAAATCCGACGGCAGGTTGGCATAGATGGGCAAAATGATGAGCTCATTGATCTTGGATCCCAGCTTGCGTGTCCTCTCCTGCAATAGCTCCTGAGAAGCTTCGATTTCTTCTTGGCCAGTTAAAAACACCAGGATGTCACCCGGTGGCTGGGTCACGTGAATTTGTAAAACAGTTACCACAGCAGCTTCCAAGTAATCAGCTTCAGGAGCCTGGGGAAAGTTCAGTTAAGAAGTTGTTAACAAGCTAGTCACCATAACCACCAAAATCTCCGAGTAGTTTGGAATATTGTTGAGAGAAGAAAACGGCTAAAAACTGCTGGACATAAGGCCAGAAAAAGGTACACTCAAGGAAAAATTTCACAGCCCTGTCTGATGATGTCTGTACGCTCTCATCTGAAAGTTTGAAAAAGTTTGCCACGGTTACAACATGTTAAGGTGTTTTTAGATAATTAGATATCTTATTGTGCCATTGTCGACTATCACATCGTGGGGGACTGGGTACTAGTTTGTGTGTTATAGGATTATCAACACTAGACCAAAATCGCCAGAAAGAGCAAACCGAGCTTCACAAAATTCCAAGCTTGGTATCAATTGGGCCAATATTGACCAAGATAGAGCCAGAATGGGTGACCCAATCAGAAACGATTTCATTTCTCTGCTTGCAGAGGAGGGTATTGTGTCCTTGGGTCTATCTACACAGTTCTAGGGGAAGAACTTGAAATTTTTGTCTTTGCACCGATTGTGGTAAAAGTACCGTAACAATCATTGATCCAGTAAACAACAAATTCTAAACTAGGCTCGTGAAAAATATAATGCTGACATTATATGAACAGGAAGGTACAGGGCTTTCATTTCGCAAACGTGAGCTACTCCATCTCGCTACAGTAGCCAATCTACCCTACAACTCAGCTGATAAAACCATCTCTTGGTTTGTGGAAAAAATACATTTTGCGACTCACTTTAGTGTAGTAGATGTTCACGGGGAATCTTCGGCCGGGAATTCTAAAGATGGGCGCGTCGTCAAAAAACTGAAAGTCAAAGAAAATGAAACAACTCAGAGGGATTCGACAGTTTTTACACTTCTCTGGTCATAGGATCGCGATATATGTGTGGGTACATGTACATGTAGCGCGTTCCACTAAAGCTTTGTGTTAGTATTTTGTATCACGCGCTTTGTGTTACTATTGCATAGCACGCGCTTGGAAGTAATAGGCGTAAGAGAGAACGGGTGCAGCGCCCATTACCTCCAAGCGCCTGCTAAGCAGGCTATGTAAATCCCTTTAGGACTATTGTGCGACCAATACATGCTACCACAATTTTGAAAGTAAAGGTGTGGCTTCTATAAAGGAAATATGTCGCACCATTGGCGGTGGAATAAAGCACAAAAATGACGTTTTATACCAAATAACAAAAGCTTTCCATGGGAACGTCGCGTTGCTAAGGACACTCCAAGCTTCAAAAACCTAACTGCAAATCAAACTTCAATATATTGCTAGTTTGCATCTAACGATGATGTTTCGGGAAAATCATGTCCAAGTGTATTTCTTCAAGGTTGAGAATTGGTAGTCAGGCAGTTGAAAAGACCATCGACCCACCTTAACTCTGATCACTGCCAGAGTGAATGACGGAGTCTCGTTAGGTGATGTTACACGGGACGATTCGCAACGACGATTGTTAGCACAACACAGCGCTGAAATGTTGGGAAAATGTTGCAACCATTCAAAACAATGTCGTAACAATGTTGAAATGATGTGTCGCGGCAAATCGTCCTGTGTAACATCTCCTGTGACTAGTAAGGTGGTTCTAACTTTTGAGTCTATGCGTCTGTGGGCAAAATTCTACGGTATTACCATTCATATGAAACCTCTTTCAAAGAACTTTCAAACGGTACTATTTGTTTTTCGGCATTTTACACAGTAAAAATTTAGAACGTCTGTTAAATTTGACTTTGAGTACCGTTATACTTTGCTTTTCATAAACACGCAAGTTCTGAAGTTCAAAAGCCAACTGACGTTTGCGTTTTTTTGCTGCCATCAATCACCTTAGCGAACCTCTTAGGAAACAAAAGTTTACTTCACCGAGTTCAGTTTAAGGCCTCGCTAGAACAGTTTTATATTTTCAATTATGCTGCTGAAGGACAACAGGAACAGGTCATGGTTTGTGATTTGTGTGATTGGCGAATTTCGATCCATTATGTGTGTTTCTGTGTTAAAGGTTCGTTGCTTGTGATCGTAATTATGATTGATGGCAGCGAAAAACGTAATTGCGAAGGCGGCTTTTGAACTTCAGAGTTCGCGTGTTTTTGAAAAGCGCAGCAAGCGAGGAAAAGGTTTAAGAAAACGCTCGAGACCTTACCTGGGAGAACTTGTCTGCATCTAACGTCGCACTGGATATCAGAAGCTTCAGATCTGATCTAAAGCGGGAAATGTCCTTCACTAAACCAAATAACACGTCAGTGTGCAGTGTTCGTTCATGTGCTTCATCGATGATAAGAACACTGAAAAACAAGAAATTTTTAATTGGGTCCAAAGATAAACGTAATCAATCAGCCATAAACAACATATACGACAAAAACTAGTAGCAACAAACTGAGGCTAAAGCCTACAGCTCTATGTTTTCTTAAACTACGTACCCTTCACCATTATATAAGAATCGGCAACGATAGCCTCGCAAAAATTCAGTTCTCAGACTTGAAGATATACTGTCCAAACATTGTATAAACGGAACACTGACTTGGAATGTGGCAAGCAGTGCAAGTTTTAACTCTATGCAGGAACTGCAATCGATGATATTTGGGACAAAAACAAGCCTTTCCTTCTGAAGACATTGAAGAGTTTGTTAAACGTACCTGTAGCCTGCAAGATCAGGTTCACCCAAG